ATGAACCTCCCCTCTCAGCTTTCAAGAAAAGTCTCCCAAGCATTTTATTACACACCTCTTTTAAAGAACCCTTTAAAGCTCTATTGAAGTACAAAATCAAAAGTCTTATAATTATAAGACTAGTGATTCACTTCATATCTTTAAAGCAGATTCCTGACTGAAAGAAAAGTAATTTCATTCTTCATTTTTTGGATCCACTACTTTTACTAAGTAGAACTCCTTCAAGTTCTAGGTTAGTAACCTTCCAATAAGCTTCCAGGTCAGTCACCTTCAGAACAACTACAGGTTAGTGACCTTCTGAACAACTACAAGTTGGTGAATTTATAATAACTAGATTTGTGACCTTCACCTCACTCTTCAATCTGTCAAATTGAAGATGGAAGGAAAGCCTTGGATCTAGCGTTCTATAATTATAATTGCTATAATTAAACTCTTTCCTTGTCTCTCTCTCCTTTATGCTTTTTCTGTTTCAAAGACCTTATATTTGAAATATAGTTATAATTAGTAACAATTGAAACCCATCTCTTCATTTTAGTGAGCAGTGAGCACTCCCTTGAGTACCCAACCCTCACAATAACTTTACCTAAAGACCTTGAAGCCTTATTAACAGTCCCCAACTACTGGTCACTGGCATGCAAATGCATCCCATGACTTCAAAATGTTTCCAAGACACTTCAGTTTTGAATGTGTCTGCCATCAAGTTGTTACTAGCACATCAGCAGCAGGCTGCCGTTTTCAAAGGCTCAAAGTACAAAAGGTATGTTGTTACACTAGACCTAGTTATTTAATGTTTTCTCTCATTCTGATTGATACTCATGATCATCTCACAACATCAGTAAATTTTCATACATTCTCCCATGGCTAGCTAGTCATGAACATGATTGATGATCTTGAGATGAAATTTCTGTACAAACCATTTTCTTAGATTTTGTAAGACCTAAACTATCAGCATCTCTATCTCTATTCTCAAGATTTGAAGTACTTCCCCCTTGAGTGTTTCTTGCAGGAAAATAGCATTTGACTTAAAATCACATTTGATTGTTTTATTTTGAATGTTATTGGATTGTTTTGATTCAAATCAAAACCTGTTTCATAAATCACATTTCTACATTAATACCAACCATTCTGCTCACTTTTATCTAAATTGCTTGAAAAAAAAAATTCACAACAGTTGTATCTCTTTCAACAATCAATCTTCCAAAATCTAGTTCTATCATCTCATCTCTTAAGAATTTTTCCGCTTTAGATGAATTCATTATTTGTATTCTGATTATTTGTACTATAATCATTTTGAAAAAATTGGCTAATATAAGCAGCTCATTTGACAATCATCACAAATCATCACACTTTGACAATACATTACATTCCACTTTATCTTTTCACTTTATCATAGAATCATAGAATCATAATAATCAGATATTAAAAACCAAATAAAGTTATCCCTTGTCTTTTTCACTAAGTAAGACAATTTCTTTTCTCATTTAACTAAAACATAGCACCTAAGACCTTCAAAACACCAATTACATGTCAAGACTCCAGACTCCAATCTTCTCATTCTGCAGATTCATAGTTCATTTAGGGGATACAAAGTAGAAAGCCGGGCACGTGCCCGGGCATGTGCCCACAAGTCCAGATCCCAATTTTACAGCCAAAATTCGGGATGTGGACTTCCCAGCACATGCCCGGCTACGTGTCCACAAGTTCAGATCCCGATTTTACAGCCAAAATTCACTTTGACGCACTACCTACAAGGATTTATGACTAGATGAGAGTGAAGCATGGAAGTTGGACGTAAAGTTTGAGACGATTCAGTGAATAATTGGATCTCATGAGTTCCTCATGCAAAACTTCAAAACAGCAATGTAGTTTACAATTCAGCAAGTCTCGAGAGGTTCAGAGAGGTAGATAGGCCGGCGCTGAAAGTGCTTTGCAAATCAACAAAGCTGACCTTTCTTTACTTCACCGAACCGAAGTTCTCGCATGCTTACTCTATCAACTTGCATAGACCAGAGCTACATGAAGTACCATGTATGTATGCACCAACCAGGAGAATCCCCTTAATCAGCTCGTCAGTTTTCTGTCTATGCGTGGTCTTCCTCCCCGCCAATCATTTTGGTAAATGATTCCAAGATCTTTTGAATATGTACATCTGAGTATGTAGGTCTAAAACAAATGCTATGACCTCATCGCGTTCTAATATGTCGATTTTCAGTGGAGTGTGGATGAAGAAAGAATCGTACGTCACTACATCAATTAAATGAATTGGAGTGTGAACAAAAGATGTATGACCTCCTCGCATTCTTCATCGCGCTCTATTATATTGACTTACTAGAGCTTGTGACTTATATTGAAGGGCGATTGAAGAAAGATCTGTAAACTAGTACAGATCGATTCGGAGCGTCGAGGTTATAGCGTGATGATCATTGATCAGTGACTAGCTATCTGAGCTATCATTATCAGCAGGTGTATGAGCTGGAAGCGTGAACGACATGAGCCAAGCGGTGAAAATGTGCCAACTGGAAAGGTATAAAGAGGCTCAATCATCGCCCCTTTCCTCTCATTCAGCATCCTCAACCACTTCAACTTCACAACAACACTTGCATTTCAACTTTGCATTGCTTCTGGTTTAAGCTTTATTCGATTCCATTCAATCAAATCATATTTCATCATGCTTTTCTTCAAAACCATCATCTTTGCCACTCTCGTCGGTAAGCAAACTCATCAAACACTATCATATTCGGTCTTTGCCTGATATGTATCTGACTTTTATATTCTGATTGGCCAATTTAGCCGCGATTTCTGCTGATTGTGGTAGTGAACAGTGAGCTTCATGTTTGATCAGTGGTCTAGGTTTTGTAGTCGCTGATGTAAGTCCATCACAATAACAGAGGAGTTGATCCAACAAAGACAGTAGGAAGTCGTCGTCGATCTGTGATCGGATATCCACGCAACATCAAGCGGGAGTAAGTGCTTATCTGTACTTTTGACTAAAAGTCTTTCCAGGTGAAATTAAAGAACCAAGATGCCTTACTGACACGTAACCGTGCATCCCTCCCTCGTCAGGAACTCTGCTGAGCGCACTCAACATACTGAAAACAACAAGCTTCGTCGAGATGAAGGTGAGAACATGCGTCAACAAAATCAGAATCAGATGACAAACCAACTATAATCAAGTGACGAGTGACGAGTGAGTGTCTATGATTCAACCTAACGCCATTCTCCGGTTGATTAAGAGTCTTTACTGACTTATCAACCCTTCAGTACCATTATCTAACACTCAGGCTAACGATGCACGAACAAAATATCAATGAGTTCATCTCTGCACATTGAATCTTGATATCACGCGGCTGGTTTTCTGCTTTGATTCGTTACATCTTGTTCTTTGTACATATTTTTTTTTGGTGTGATATATGTATCCCTCGTGCAGCTGGTTTTTCTTGTTTTTTTGCTCATTATACCATATTTGGCAATAAAAGTTATGTTTCCCAAGTATTTTGACTTCGATTGGTTCAACTTTCTCCATGAGCGAGTCTGATACACTATCATGAGAATATTCATATTGGGCAGCCTTGTCTGGATTACTTGGCGAACCGTCTAGCATCCACAGTCACAATCTCATAATTTTGACTTGCATTCAAAGTTAATATTCCTTTTAACTCCGGGCTCTCAGCCTTATGCTACCCTACCTAGGATACCCTAAGTTGAGAGTACTGTGGGGGGGGGTGTCCAGAGCCGCGGGGTGTACCGGGTGCGTCCGCGGGGCGCTATTTCTAGTGCCCTGCGTGTTCAGACGACCTGGTCCACGCCGTGCTCTGAGCCGCGTAAAGTGCCTGAAGGGCGCCGGAGGACTT